CGATCTGTTTAAAGCTCTTCCTCCATGCCTGCAAGTCGCTACCTGGCTTTGATAAAAACCACATTTGTGCTGAGGTTGGCTGTCGTGGTGCTCTCCGTGCTTCACTCCAGGAAAAAGGGAGGCTAAAAACTGCAGTGGTCTTTGTTGCTTCAACTTCAGCTTCACAAGCATAGTGTTCACTCCAGCAACTGCGTCTACCTTCCTTAACTACTTGGTTGGACTTCAGATCACTTTGTGTCATGCCCCATAACCACCATGATCCTTCACTGGGCTGCTGCCATGATTTGTGAAGGGAGAGGAAGCAGAGAGAAGCGTTTGCTGGGTGGATTTGTGTGCAATGCATGGCATGGCTGCTGCTGGGCTCTCAGCAGGGGCACAGCCAGCAGTTCTGGATGGGCAGCACTCTAATGTGTTTGGTCTCCCTCGTGCTTATGGGGGTGCTGGGAAAAACAGCCAAGAGGTTTCAAGCGAAGCCTTCATCAGGAAACTTTCAGTAATGTTTTCTGGTTTTGTAAGTACACGTGTGAAACTTTGAGTGTGGGGGGGGAGGAGTGTTTTAAGCTCTTGAAATGTCTTTAAGTATACATAGATGCTTAGATTTCTGCTGAATATTTCTGTTCGTTATAACGTTATCAGCCTGCATTTTATCTTTGAAATGTCAGTGTGGGGTTAAAGCCAAGGTAGAGCTGTGCTTGCAGGTGTTTGCATCCAAAGGCAGACAGACCACGAGCTTGCTGCGTGAGGACGTGACTCGCTGACTTGCCTTGGCACAACGCATGTTTGACATCTGCTACTGCAAATATTTTGGCTTCTGAGAACCTGGCTGCTGCTTTGACAGTGAACAACATTTGGTGTGTTTTGCTATCTGGATTCCTGCGTGTCTGTTACAGCAACTCCTCCCTGACACTTAACCTGGACGCAGGTTTCCTCAATAGCTTGTGTTCAGTGCTGGCAGCTTCCTGGGGAAACTTCTTTTCCTATACTCAGGTTCCTTGCATTGAAAGGGAATATTTTGACTTTGTGTGTGTGTGTGTGCCAGAGAAGTAATAAAAATTCATGGACAATAACTTCTTTTTGCTCGTTCTCTGAAAAGGGCCGTGATGGGTGTCATTGTGGGGGAGCTGTGGTGATGAGCACTGCCTCGGGGTGACGAGCTCTGCATGGGAAGCAAAGAACCAAATCTGAGCAGCGCCGCTGGGCCGGGCCCAGAAACAGTAGATGTGCAGTTCTGCATGCTCCTTCCAATCCTTTTGTTTGAATTGAATTAGGTTCTGCTTTGAGCAAGCTGTAAAGAGTGACTGCCTGGTCCTGGAAGAGATGGAGAGATATCACACCCACCTGCAAGAGGCTGGCATCATGGAAGCCTTACCCTGAGGGGCTGCTGAGCAGTGCTTGGCACAAGGCGTGTTTATTGTCCTGGGGCCATGGAATGCTGGTTAGGTGTCTTGGTGAGTGGGGATATTTGCAGAGGCAGTAAGTGTTGGCTTGCTGCATGCTGCTAATTTAAAATAAACAAGTGCTGCCCTCATTTTGAAAGATGAATGCCCTAGAGGAACACATTAATGGAGAAAATGAGGAAGTGTTGTTGTTTAATTTGAAAGCGTAATGTAAAGTAAATAGTCCTAAATGAGTGCTCAAACCCTTGTCTTTGTAGCTTTGTAGAGGAATATTTGGTGTGGGAAAGGTTATGGTAAAGCTGGCTGATGATGGAAGCCTCACTGATAAATTTGTGATGTCAGAGAGTTCCAGATTTGGCCAAAGCTACACTCTTGAGAGTCGGTGGTTATTGCATGGCATTACCCACTTTCTTTCTCTTTTTTTTTTAATTTGATCATGAAACGTGCAATTTCAGAAGTTGGGAAGGTTTGTTACCAGCAGTGTTTTCCACATCTCTTACTGCAGTGAGGTTTTACTGTTGGAAAAGTCATCAATGGCAGCACTGCTCACAGCACACTCCTGTGAGTATGTGCCCACCGTGAGCTGCCTTCTGTTTTATGCTGAGCTCTGAAAGCTTCTCCCAGAATGAGCACCAGGACATCCCTGGAAGCGATCTCCCACCAGAAGATGGCATCTGAGTGGGGACGTGCAGTCAGAGCCCCGCTTTACCCACAGGCCAGAACAGGTCCCTTCCCTGCCCCTTACTGTGAATGAGAAACATCAGGCAGGCAGCTGTGACCAGTATAGGAAGCATGTTGTGGTGGAGCAGTGCTGGTCCCAGCAGCCAACAACTTATCCCTGTGTTCATGGGCAGCCCAGCAAGCAAGGTGTGTGCCTTGCTGAGATAAGCATGGTGTTCCCAGCTTACTCCCAGACTGTGTGGCTTCTTCATGTGTCGTCTGAAATTTAACCACGTTCCTCACTTAAAAACACTTCTGCTCATTCTTCACTTTTTTTTTTTTTTTTTTTTCTCTTTTGTTGCATGTGTTGACTTTGGAAGTGCTTACTTCAGCGCATGGCTCAACAGCTGTTTTATTTTCACAGCACAGTGATGTTTTGAGAAAAAGCAAGGAATTGCTGTGAGTCTACTCTGTTTATCTAATTACAAAACGGAAATATATGCAGCTGAATTAACGGGCCAGGTTGGACACAGTGTCAGAGAGAACCTGAAACAGCTCTGGAGGAACAGAGTGTTCACTTTCATTAATGTATTATCAGCTTTCACCTGATGTCTTGAGTCTATTAAAAAATATGGTTTCTTCCATTACAAAATGACTCAGTCACAGCTTATTTACAATTATAGTCTTGATAATCTCTTTCCCCAGGACAGGAACAGGAGATTTTAAGAACAGATGGGAATTTTAGATAACTTCTCAAATCCTTTTGTTTTTTTCCCCTTTTCAGTTTCCTTGGGAGTATCACTTTGTTTTGAGTGGAAGGAGTCCTGCTCTGTACCTCCATCTCATCCTCTGTTTGCAGAAGAGGATCTCATTTCAGATCTGTTTGCCTTTTTCCTCTTTTCTTGTTTTAAGAAGTTAGCAAGCCCATCGAAAGGGAAGCAGCGTGCTTGAGTTTTCAAGTGTTTGGTGAGCCTTGGGAAAACCCTAAGCTGTCATGGGGTAAGAAAGTTCCTGTGCTGGATAAGGAATTGCCTGGCAGGTAGGAAGCAAGGTGTCAGATTGCACAACACCACAGGGCTCCCACAAGCTAATATCACTCCTAGATACCTGCTGTTCTCCTGCAGTAACTGATCTGAGGAGGAGGGGAATGGCAAGGCATGTATCCTGAGGGCTGCTGGGACCAGAGGGAGAACTGCAAAACCACAGAGAGCCAGCAGTCCCAGGCAGCTGGGCAGCACAACAGCCAAGGATGCAGAGGTGGCATAAAGCTCTGTGGTTTTGGCTTATTGCCACGGGACAGCTTTGAGTCAGCCCCACTTGCAACATGGCCTGAAGTCATTGCAGACAGCACAGAGCTGGGGCTTTGGAATGTGGCCCTAAGGGATGTAGGTGAATGGGCCTGGGAGGAGAACCAATCCAGTTGTGATGCTGCAGGGTTGCATGGCCGGAATATGCGTGCTGGGGCATCCTTGTGGGCTGATCCCTAAGCCTTTTACTGATCACTGCAGAAAACAGATAAGAGCTTGCCAGGCTATTATGTCTTACACAGCGGCTGCTGTGGTAAGCATTTGTAGGGTAAATCTGCTGTGGGTCATGGAAATGCAGATTGCCAGCTGTCCTCTCTACCCACTGGGGCAGCTGTTTTGTACCATTCAGCAGGCACCAGCACCCTGAGCTGGGGTTCTGGGCCAGACTGGGCTGCAGCTCCCTGCAGGGATGAAAGCCTCTGGGATGCCAGAGCAGTCAGGTTCTGCCCGCCTGTGGGTGCTGTCCTTGAGAACAAGCTGCCTTTCCCCTTGATAAAAAAACCAGCCTCTTTGCTTACAAGTCAAAGCAAAATCACTTTCCTACTGCAGCGGTGTGCACAGTTGTCAGGGTGGGGATTGCATTGTGTGAAGCACAGAATGTAAATTTTTAGGCTACTCTGAGTGCTCCTCACTGTAGGGAACACAAGCTGGCAGTGCTGAGACGTGCTGCTATTGCCTACATCTGAAGGTTCCTGGAAGTCAGCCCCTCACCATGTGTCAAGAAGCAGAAAGTGAATGAAGTCTGGCTAGGAGTCTGCCCAGTGTGTGCTGGAAGGGAGGCGGAAGGAGTCTGGGAACTTTGCTGTGAGCTGGTTGGTACTGCATGGCTCCATTTGGGGGTTTCTGTTTCTCTCTCTATATAGATTCTGAAAGCACTGCTGTCTGCAGCAGAACTGCATGCAGAGGGGGGTAGAAGGATGCCCACTGACTGTGGGCTGCTCTGTGTGAAATCACTGAGTTTCTCACAGTTTCTTAATAGAGTTAAAATATGAGTAGTCAGCATTAGGATGCATAGAATCTAATGCTATGTACTGTAGCATCTGTAATTTAGCTTACATGGCATTGTTCTGACTCAGTGTTCTGCAGAAGCAAGCTACTTCTTGAAACATATCACCCTGTGAAATCTCGCCTTCTCTTGCTGTGTTTCCTTGGTTAGAATGAAGCTATGAGGCCAAAAGATTTGTCTAGACAGTATTTTGTGAGGGCCTGTGCATAAGGTAATATGTTGTAAAGTGACTTTTCATACTACTCGCTCTTTCTTGCTCCAAAAAGGCCAGGAGTCATCTGCAGCCGTGCTTGAGGAGGAGCACCTGACTTGCTGAAGAGCAATTGATAAGATGGTTTCTTGGGAAAAGTTAAGTTTTTTCATCTCCTTTTCTCTTAGCAGCGCTCATTGCACACATTAACCATCAGCACTGGGGTTTTTACTTCGCTGAGAGAATGGACACGTAAGCTTTTACAAAGCTGATGTGTTATTAATGTTTCTGCTGCTGACCTTTTGTGCCTGGATAACAGCTTCTATGGGACTGCTGCACTTATCTGAGGAAATGCACGTTCATCTCCAAACCACGAGGTTCTTCCATGATAGTTTCATTTCTTATTTATTTATTTATTTATTTATTTATTTATTTTGCAGGTGTTTCTCGAATCTCTTCAGCACCTCGTGCATCTGTTGTATTTGGAGATATCCTGCTTTAAATCCTGGACAAAAATCTGCCAACAGTCAAAAATGACTTGAGTGGAAGAGCCACTGTTTTGTCCAACAGGTAGGATGTCGGTAGTTGGTGGCTTCTGATACGTCACAGCTCAGCATAGCTTGGTGTCAGCAAGCTGTCTGTGGAGGGAATTGCTGCTGGTGCCGTGCTAGGACAGATAATGATCTCCTGAGGTGCACTGGGAGGTGGTTTGTGTAAAACTGTTTCATTGGGGAATATGGTTTTGTAGAAAAGACATGAAGGCAAAGTCGTCTGAAAGCCACCTGCTGTTGGAGTGCTCCCTTTTATAGCACAGCTGGTGGGAGCTGGAGGTGACTGCTCATACAAGGAGCTGCATAAGGGGATGGGCAGTGCTGTACAACAGGATCTAGCTTTATTACCTGTAAGGATAACATACCTTGAATAACATTTATCAAAGAGCGTTTGTGAACACAGCCATGCTGTGGCTTAATTGGATCCCAGCAGCTGGTTTCCCACCAGGAGCATGCTCAGCCCACTGAGGGTTTGCAGAAGTTCCCTGTGTAGTTGCTAGATGTCAATTGATGAAACTCCTGGTGCTCATGAATTCAGTTTTTTTCTGCACGGTTATGTGCCTCGTTATGTGCTTCATTAGTGTTCAGGCTTGTAATGAAGTGACAGCTCAGTTCTGGAAATGCTGCTGGTGGGATTTACATATTGGCTGATTGGGATGGGAGGTGAAGGAAAGCAAAATGGAGACCTACATTCCTGCTGCTGTGCTTCTACAGCTGTGTTAAACATGTTTCAGTGACGGCAGCCCCCGGTCACTGCTACACAACACGTGATGGTTAATAGCCACTTCAAGTCTTATTTGTTTGACATTTGAGGTGGTGAACTTTTGAAATGAGATCTTTCAATGGTTTGAGGTGTTAAAATTGCCCCTGCGTTCTCTCTCTCCCCACCCACTGCCTCACACTGCTGCCTGTGATTTCATAGGCATGTGTGGATGTGCACACACCTTTGACTGAGATGTTCTCTTCCCCAGGACCAGCTTCCTGCCCTGTGCTCACTGTCCCATTTGGATGCAACATACACTATGGTTCACATCAATGTGCTGAAAAAATTTATGTGTGTTCTCGTGGTGATACTGATAGCTCTGACAGTTTGCCTGTGGAAAGAGACAAAAGGAAGCTACTATGTTCCTTTCAAGAATGATGATACACAGGTTCACAGGACTTTGGAAAAATGGAACCTACTTAAATCACAGGGCCTCTTCCACGAAGCTGCTGGTGAAATGGGTCAGATGCCTAAAGTTTTGCCCAACAACCAAAATAAAGTAAAAGGCATCACCTCTGGAGTAGTGGAGAAGTCCAGGAAAGCAGCAGACCATGTGAAGGTATGGGATAAGGACAGCTCATCCAGAAACCTCATACCCAGGCTGCAGAAGGTCAGGAAGAACTACCTGTCCATGAACAAGTACAACGTGACTTACAATGGGAAGATGAATGCTGCTAAACTCAGCCCAGAGAAGCTGCTGTGCCAGCTGCGGGACAGGGTGAACGTGACCATGATACAGGGATCAGACGGCCCGTTTAATTCCTCAGAATGGCAGCACTACCTGCCAGAGAAAAGCCTCAATGAAACAGTGGGCCGCCTGGGTCGCTGTGCTGTTGTGTCCTCTGCAGGCTCTCTGAAATCGTCTCACCTGGGACCAGAGATAGGTTGGTATTTTTCTACTAAGATAAAATCAAGCAATACCGTTTTCTAACTTGCACTGAACAGAAGAGACCTGGTGTCATGCTCTTACTCTGCTGGAGCCACGGAGGTATTTAAAATAAGCTGGAATCTATCCTTGCAGTTCTTTGATACCAGTACAGGCTAGGAGGAGATGGGAATAATGATGAGATACTCTTCTCCTCTCTGAGCGTGTACGCTGCGCATCGTAAGCTTCCTTATGATGCTGTAGGTGACAGTGCCTGTGAGTGTTAGCCTTTGGGCATGCCTGCTCCCATGAGCAACCACTGATAGCAGCAGCAGTTTCTCAGAAATGAAAAGGATTGTGCTAGAAAACAGCTGCAGTCTTAACTCTGCGACCTTGTAAAGATTTGATTATGGTATAACACTGCTCTTCCTCAGCAGGAAAACAGTAAGTAAAAATATTTAGCCAAATGGGTAAGCCCCAAGGGGGAGTGCAAAGGATTGGACTGAGTTGAGAGGATGTGACTTCTGTGCAGGTAGTTCCTTAATACTGAGTCCTTTTAACTTTCATGGTTGTGTTGAGCTCACCAGAAAGTAGAACTAATACTGAATACCAGGAAGAGGTTTGGCACCTCAAATGTTTGTTTCTTGAGAGGGTGTGGGATGGGTTGAGTAATGTTATGTGCTCATTGCACGCTCAACAGGCAGAAACTTTTTATTTGGAGAAACTCCTACAGAGAAGGAAGTAACAAAAACAGCAAAAAAAAAAAACCCAAACCAAAAAACCAACAACACAACTAAAGCACAAAAGGGAAAAAAAAAAACCACTGAAACACAATTCTGAGCAATCTGCTCTAGTTGACCCAGCACTCAGTGGCCCTGGGCAGTCTTCAGAGGTCTCCTCTGACTCTGTTTCTTGCTTGTGGTCATTGATCTGAAGTCAGTGCAGTGAGTAACAAATGCTGAAGCATCGGTCTTGTACTGTGATTGTAAAGAAGTGAGAGTCGATACTAAAGCACTTTGTATCTTTAAGGAAGCAGCATCAGGGTCTGTCCAGCCTTCAGTTCTGGGTTTTATGCTTGGCAGAAAATTCTCCTGTGGCTGCAGCCCCACTTTGTTCACTGCTTATTGTTTGGGACTCTGTGAAGATTCACACTGCGCTTAACTCACTGCAGGAGGAGTATGTATGATTGCTCCCTCCTGTAGAAATTGCTTGCAGGTTTCAGTGTGTTTGTAAGTTATCAGCTGGATCAGGTCCCTTTGGCCTGTACTAAGCTGGAAGTAGCCTTCATCCTCTGAAACAAGTAGACAGATAACCCTTTAATACATTATTCAGGAACAACTGAGGGAAACCTTTCAGCTGCAGTGGGGAGGTGAGGGTTTGTGCTGGCAAGTGCCCAGAGGCTGTCCTTAATGGGTGCCTCTCGGGGCAGGTGCTGGGTGAGGATGAACAGCAAGAGCTGTGTTGAAGTGCACTGAAGGATGTGATGAGAAGGGCGGTGGCAGCATTAACCAGGGCAGCACTGCCTCCTGATACGAATTGCTGTTGACAGTTGGTTGATGTAATTGTTTTAGCCTCCTGATGAACGCTTGAGGCGAAGCAGGTCGAGTACTAAGAAGGCAGACCTGACTTGGAGCACCTTTCTGGGCTGGAGCTTTCTCAGAAGTGACCCGATCTCTTGTTTGATGCTCTCCTGTCACCCAGCTGGCTTGTTTCCAGCAATGCCTGTGCTAACTCCTGTGATGGGATGGCTCAGGAGCTGAGGATGCTGTCACAGCACATTGTAATCCAGCATGCAAGTGCTGGATCTGGGATGTGAGCAGCCAGGCAATGGATGGGCTGTGCCTCTGCTGCTGCAGAGTGGAGTGCATGCCACGGGTGCAGAGCAATTGTCTGTGTGCCTGCAGCCTCCTAGTCTGTCCCCTGGGCTGAAGCATCAGTCTGTTCCAGATCAAACTGAATGAATTCTGGAAAGGTCACTGTGTAACATGCCCTGGGCGAATGCCATTATCTCTGCTGCCATCCCAGTTAGCAGGCCTTGTGTCTGAATCACAAACTGGCACCTTTTAGCTCAAGCAGGCATCTCTGGTAATGGTTCTGCGTGCTTTTGGCTGCTTGGGCGCCCAGTCTCACTGCAGCTCCTTCAGCTGAGTGCTGTGAATAATTCAGGAGTGCATCTCTGTTCATGTACAGTTTTCCCCAGTTTTGGCCTGATGTATTTCTATGGAGGAAAAATTGTGGTTTGGTTGGGGGAAGGTGCCAAAAAGGGATTAAATCTTAAAATGAAGCCTTTGCTTTGAAGCTTGGTTGAGCACAAGAAACTGCTGAATAATTATTCTTTAAAGGGCTGGGGGTATTTTGTCTGTGTAATCACATGAAATGGGGAGGAAGGGTGGTAGATCAGAATGGGAAGATCCTGTTTAATGGGCAGTGCTTGCCTTGATGAGTTCTTGATGATAACAAGGTCTGTGAGTTACCAGTGAAAAACCAAACTGAGGAAATGCGGAGCACAACACAACCACTGGGAGACAGACAGGATGCCACAAGAAGTTCATCAAACACCACTTTTAAGCATACACTTGAGGTGTAATAATGCTTGGTGTCTGGCTCAAGTTGTGTGTGTAAACTATAAAATCATGGAATTATCAAGGTTGGAAATGACCTTCAAGTTCATCAAGTCCAACCGTCAGCCCATCCCCACCATGCCTGCTGGGCTGGTACATGTGGTCACATGGAAAGTCTCCGTAGCTCCAAAGCCAGCTGCTAGCTCACTGCTTTTACTCTGCTCTGCTTTCAGACAGCCATGATGCCGTCTTGCGGTTTAATGGGGCTCCTGTCAAGGGATTTCAAGAAGATGTGGGTCAAAAAACAACGATTCGTCTTGTTAACTCCCAGGTAGGTGTGATGAAAGTTCAAACAGACCAAGCATGGCACAGCTGCACGTCTCTCCTCTGCTTGGGAGCTGAATCATAGAATCATCGTAGAATGGCCTGGGTTGAAAAGGACCACAATGATCCTCTAGTTTCAACCCCCCCTGCTATGTGTAGGTTTGCCAGCTTCTGGATCAGGCTGCCCAGAGCCACATCCAGCCTAGGTGAATCCAGCTGAATGGCAGGGAATGGCCTTCCTCCTAAGAGAGACACGGGCAAACCTTCTCCCCATTGCTCAGATACCTTCTGAGGCTCCTGCATTTAAATTAGCACGTGCTGGAGGTCGTGCTTCTTTTCTGCTCAGTGATGATGTGCATAACATACTAGCAGGCTCGTTAAATGGCTGAAGATAAGTGCCCAAGAAATGCACTTAGGAGCCTGTGCATCCTGCTGTGCTCTGCTCTGCAGCTTGCTCCTCTCAGTTCCCCTGTGTTCAATCAGCACTCAGATGTGGGACGGTTTGTCCTTGTTCAGGCAGTCTTTTTTTGGCAGCCACATCTGGCAGCTCACATCCTTCCTCTGCCCCGTTTGACCTTTCTGTATTTTATCTTCTTCCTTCTGTGCGCTTTACGGTGGCAGATAGGCGTTATCACTTGAGAAATCTTGCTCTGAAGAAAGTGCCAATTGCTGCTCTTCCTGTGATACAAAGTTGTTTGTCAGTGAAAATATGTAAGTGACCTGGGTTATTTGCACAGGGAGGAGGGTAACACCACGACTGCATGAGTGTAGGATAGCACCAACAACGCCGTGTGACTGCTCTACTTTTGGGCTAAGCGTGAGCACTGCAGCTCTTGTTTTGGCTCCTGCCACTGATCCATCCTCAGTCCGGTCCTCAAATGAAGGAACTGGGATGCTCTGTATCTAATCTATCAGACTAGTCTGTGTTCATTGCTGTCCCTATGGCATGGGTGGCCAGTGGCCCTGAATTGCTTGATAGTTGTTCTGATATATTTTCTGTAACAAACATAACCAGATAGATTTGGGAACAGTACCCAGTTGTTAGTTTGTTCACAAGTTGGAGATTTTTACAGTACGGTGGGGTTTCTTGTGCATCTGTTTAAAAAGGAAAGATTAATGGGGTGATGATAGTGTCAGGGGAGAAGTTTGGGATCCTCAGAGCTGAGGATGGGCTTGTAGGTCCACGAGCTCGGTGGTTGTTCTAAATAGAGAAACTCTTTAATGTTCCCTTGCCTATTTTCTTAGACCTTGACTGTTCCCTCTGTCCTGCTTTTTTAATGGCATGTGTTCCTGCAGTCTTCTGCAAAGCATCAATTTGCCCTGGGAAAGCTCTCACATCTTACAAAAATAAGGGCTGAGGACACTGTGGGGGGAATACTAATGTCCTTATGTAGGACACGATTCCTTTCAGCTGAGCTGACCAGGGAGCAGATTACCAAGGGCTTCCTCATAGCTCTTGTTTACAGCTCTCCTTGGCTGTGAGTGAGAGTTCTCTGCCATCGCTGCATTTGCTGATATTGGCATTAATGAGTCTGCAGGGGGAAAAAAGGAGATAGCACACCCACGGAGTGAAATAAGGTTGTGACGGCTGAAAGAGAGCATGTTTGGATTATGGGCCAGAAACTGCAGTAGCTGGAGAGCAGGAGCTCGTTATGATCTGGTGGGTAATTGTACCAGGAGAGTAGGTGCTACACTAGCAAGATATTTGCTAAGCAGTGAGTTAGCTAAAGAACAACTTCAACTAGTAAATGAATAGATTAGTCAGCTAATTAGAATCAAAAGACTGAGCAAGACAAATAAGTTGTGTAGCAATTTAAATGGTGTTTAAGTACTTAGAAAGAATCAGTCCCTCTGTTGATAGAACAGATAGGCACTAAAGGTACTGGGGAGCCAGAGGCCCACCTGGCCTCTTACAGGTAGGCTTTGGTGCCTCTGGGCAGCCCTTTGGATGCTGGTGTGCCTCTGCTGGCTCACATGGCTGTGCTTGGCCCACCTTTACTTCCTCTGCTGCTCAGCTTCTCTTGAATCCCCCTTCCACGTGTTTCACATCAGCTTTTATTTTCTTTCTTTTCTTCCCTGGAAAAAATTCCTGGAAGATTTCCAGCCTTTCAGTGGAAACAGGAAAATGAAAACAAAATGCCAGTGTTCCTCACCCTGTTTCTGCCCCGTGGCATCTCACCCTTACCCGGCTGAGGGGCAGCCCATGCCAGCTGCCTGAGCCTGCAGGAGCTGCACTGCACTCCAGCTTTGGGGCACGCTGTCAGCAGGCGACCCAGATACTGCCACTGCTGCAAGGAAATGAGGCCACGCAGTGCTCGTGGTCGAGGGAAAGCCTAATCCTCTGGAGCTGGAAACAGATGTGAGGAAACCCATTTTGATTTTCGAGTAATAGACATCTGGGCCAGCCGCAGCGTCCCTGAGCACTGCTTAGCAAAGGCGATCAGTTTGCTGCTGGAAGCAGCCTGGATACTTCAGGGTAAATGGAGTAGCTCTTAATTGGGCCTTCTGAGAGCATGAAGAAAATGGAAGCTGATTTTTATGACAGTGCTTCTCTTAAGCACAGCTTTTAAAGAACTGCTGGTGCAAGTTAAGCCTGAAGGCAGGGAGGGCAAAAGACCAGCCCCTGTCTCAGTGACCAGTGCTTGCTTTTCAGGGCAAAGCCATGTTAGTGCAGGTTGTTGGAGGCTGTGCCAGCAGTGTATGGGTGGCTGCAGGAGTCATGTCCTTGCCTGTGTGCTGTGGGACATGCTTTGGGAGCAGCAGAGGGGTGGCTGGAGCTGTGCTCGGTGGGCTTTGCTGCTCAACTGCTGCTGATGCTGATGGTGTGTATCAACGTGTTGTGTTTGTTGTGTCATTCCAGCTGGTCACTGTTGAGGAGCAGCAGTTCCTGAAAGATGCTCTGTATAACACTGGAATCTTGATTGTCTGGGATCCAGCGCCGTATCATGCAGAAATACATGAGGTAAGGCTGAGGTTTCCGTAAATAAGATCAGATGCATGCTTTGAAGTGCAGCTCTTAGCTCACGTCCTCCTTATATGAACAACCACTCATTTTGAGGCCGTTCTTGTTTACCTCTTCCTCACGCGTTACAATGGGATTGGATAACTCTGAAGATGTAAGCTAATGTCAGCTCTCTGTGTCAGATTTTCACCTGTGGGCATTGCAGCCTTCTGACTACAAAATGTTTTGCCCAGTCCCACTTCTCCAAGTGGCATAAGGATGTATTTGTAGCCAGTGTAAAGTCAGTGAAACCAGGATGGGGTATTTGTGGCATAGGAAAAGGTATAAAAATGGCTTTCTGAAAACATATGCCCTTCCAAGTATTTTTATTGAAAATAGAATGTTACGATGCAAATGAGCCCAGCCTGCTTGAGGAGGTGGTGCTGTGGGAACTCTCCTGCAGCATGGGATGCTTTGTGCTCAGGGTTGAGAGGCACAGGGGTCTGCAACACGGAGACAGACTTCTCAACATCATTGGCTGTTGGGGTTGCAGAGTGAAATGATACAAGATAGCTGATCTTATGTAACAGTCCTTCTCTGCCAGAGGGAGGAGATATGGGTTTTCCCCCTCTGTTCATTAAGGCAAGTCCCCTCAAAGACTTGAAGGGCAGGTTTGGTTGGGCAGCAAGCAGCATGTAGAGATCCAGCAGGACCTTTTCCTCTTGGCAGCAGCAGGTTAACTCACTGATAGCCTTCCTGTTTGCCATTGGTTGTAAAAAAGGGCATGCTGCGATAAAACCATCTGACCTCTTGTTTCTGTTTTGCAGTGGTACCGAAAACCAGACTACAAGTTTTTTGAAGCCTACAAGTTGTATCGTATTAGACATCCGGAGCAGCCCTTTTATATCCTGAATCCAAAGATGCAGTGGCAGCTCTGGGATATTCTGCAGGAGAATTCCCTGGAGCATATTCAGCCTAACCCACCGTCTTCGGGAATGCTGGGTGAGATAACTGCCTTCTAAACTTCACATTCAGCTTACAAGAGTTCTTCAAAATATCATTTTCCAAGACAGCTATGGATTTATGTTGTTTGAAGGCTTATCAGAATTGCTTTTGCAGTGCTTGTCTCATGCCAGAATTCTAGCATCGTGTCTCAAAGGTATCATTTTGGTTGTGTTAAAATAAGCAGCACCCCTCTGGAACAGCAGTTAAAAACATGGCCTGGTTCCATGTGGGAATAGGTGAGCAGAACGCAGTTTTAAGATGTTCTTGAAGCTTTCTGGCTCCTAAAACCAGAGCAGTTCAACCACATGGGGTGCAGAGAGGAACATACGGCTCCTGTGGGTTCAGATCTCATCAGGGAAATAAGTCTGTTTACTGCAGATAAAATCTAAGTGGTTACCTAATATGTATATGGAAAGAAAGACATATAGCTAAAGGCCTAATCACAGCACAGGGTTGGGGGTGGTCTGACTGACCGCTTTGATTCAGTATGCTAATTTCTTTGTCAGCATGCTAAATCCAGGCTCCCAGCAAAGAGGCTTACTTTATATTCCTCTGTGGCAAAGCTTTTCCTTGTTATCAGCAAGTAAATCTCATGGCCATGTCAATTAGAAGGAGCAGACTTCTCAGGATTCACATGTATGCTGAAGTCACAGTACAGAAGTGTGGTCTCGTTCACTGTGTGGACATCAGTGTGTTGCACTTCAGCCAGTTTTCCACTGTTGCCTCTACTCCCATCTCTGCCAGGCACCTTCTGCATCTGTGTAAAAAAATGTGGAGCTGTTGGAGCGGGTCCAGAGGAGGCCACAAAGATGATCAGAGGGCTGGAGCACTTCTCTTGTGAAGATAGTTTGAGGGAGCTGTGCTTGTCTGGAGACGAGAAGGCTCTGGAGCAGACCTCACTGCAGCCTTCTAGTAGTTACAGGGAGTGGATAAACAGCAGAGAGGCTGACTTTTTACATGGTCTGACAGTGACAAGACAAGGGCTTTAAACTAAAGGGAGATTTAGATTAGATGTTAGGGAGAAATTCTTTACTCAGAGGGCGGCGAGGCCCTGGCACTGCTGTCCAGAGAAGTGTGGGAGCCCCATCCCTGATGGTGCTCAGGGCCAGGCTGGAAGGGCTCCTGGGCAGCCTGAGCTCATGGGGGCAGCCAGCCGATGGCAGAGGGCTGGAACATAATGGACTTTAAGGACCCTTTCAGCCTAAGCCATTCTATGATTTCTGCCAGTTAAACACCTTGTTTTCTTCACCAGCCTTGCTCTTGCCCTGTACCAATTACATCATCACACGTGCAAGACAATTGCATAAGAATACAGCCATGTTATTACAGCATGGCTGTCACTGTATACAGCTCACTCTGGTCAAATCCATCAGCTGTGTTGCAGTTGCACCAAACAGCCCCATCCAGCCTGGTGTGTTTTCTCCTGCTTTCAACTGAACTTAGGAAGGAGGAAACCCTTCCCTTTGGAGCGGGGTGCTTTTTGCCTGGCCATTCACCTCACTGTGTGGTTTATGTGATGTTGGTCTCTTTCCCTGCACAGGCATTGTGATCATGATGACGCTCTGCGATGAGGTGGATGTGTATGAATTTCTCCCTTCTAAGCGGCAGACGGACATTTGCCACTACTACCAGAAGTTTCACGACCGTGCCTGCACCATGGGAGCTTACCACCCTCTCTTGTTTGAGAAAAACTTGGTGAAGCATTTAAACCAAGGCACTGATGAGGACATCTACACTCACGGGAAGGTTACTTTGCCCGGCTTCCGAAATGTACATTGCTAGCAAATCAGTTTTTATTGTATTCAGACTTTTGCCTTGACTGTCAAAGCACTTTGAAAATCAGGGTTGTCGTATTTGTTAGGTCCAAGCACTGGTGTGTTTTGACAGCTCTTCCTCGTTGCGACACTTAAGACTCTTTGGCATAGCTTCTCCAAACTGGAAGGCAGTGCAATACGTTGTGGTACATCCACACACAGTGTCTGTGTGAGCCTCTGCAATAAATGTCTTCCTCGTGGGGCTGGGCTCATGCAGCTGGTGGAGTCTTTGGCTCAACTGATGATGCTGTATGGGAATCACAGGAGATGCTTTCTAAGCAGAGACTGCATCAGGCCGAATCAAGTGCTGATAAAGTTCAGCTTGCTTCAAAGGAGTTCTGACAGCTGAAAGCCTCATCTGCTGAGAAACAAGAGACATTCTTTGACGCTTGTTCCCATCGCCCTGGAGCTCTTTGGAGCAGTGATTTAAGGAATCACTGTTAAAGCTGGGTACTGATAAACTCAATTCCTAGTCCAAAATATTTGATTTTACCATTAAAATAAGCAAGGTAACTACCTTTCAAAATACAAGGCTTTTAAATCATCTGGTTGGCATTTTTGGCATATGAGAAGGGAGGCAATTCATGATTCAGGAATTTCTGCAAGATATTTTTAGACATTTTAGTGGAGCTTTTTTTTTTTTTTTAATAATAATTTTAAGCAAGTTTTACTGACCATTTACTTCTCCAGTACAGTGTCGTGTTTGGTACAAAAGAAGCCGTATTTTGAAAATGTTTTGGTGGTGGTGTTGAAAGGCACAGATGGAAAAACTCACTGGAAGCTGGTACTTCTTTCTAACTCTCTGCTAATCTACCTCTGTAATTATTGGCAAATTGTCTTCTGTCTTGTCTCCAGTAACAAAAAAGCCACATAGCAGCTGGATGGATGAGATGCAGGTCTCTACAAGCTAACCAGGGCCATCTCATTGCTGCTGTGTGCTTTCTGAATGCATGGCGAGCAGATACATTGCCTCCATTCTTCATCAGCAGTGAGGAAGGAGAGAGTGCTCTGCTCCCCATGCTGGAACTCAGGCAGAAGGGAGCAGGGCACCTTTTCTCTCTCATGTAGCCTCATGGTGGAAGCAGCAGCTCTGCAATCTCTGTGCGTCACTGAGAACACCTTCTGAGTCCTTTTCCATACTGATGTATTCTGTGGTTATCTGTAAAGAAAACCTTTTCTTCTGCTGTTTTGAATAAATCCTGTGAAGTCACTGGCCCATTCTTACCTTGGTGAAACCAGTGTAAATGTTATTCATGGAACATGGGGCCTTGTGCCAGAGCAGGTGGGAACTGCGATGTGCTCCTTTTGGTGAGCATGTGGCCCTTATCTGCTCCTTGGTGGGTGTTCTTTGTTGGATCTGTCACTGATAGAGACACGTTGGGGTTTTTTTGTTTAATTTTAAATGATGATCCTTACTACTGCTATTGTCCAGGGGCACTTCTGTCTCATTAGGCATTTGGTTTCTTTCCTTACGCTGAGCTGTTAGGGAAAGATCTTGGAGCTTCTCCTGCACGTAGCACTTTACTGCTGACTTTGTTCCGTGTGTGGTGAGCAGACCTGGTTCATCTCTCACCTGGGAAAGGTGGGAGATGAACAGAGAAAAGCTGACCTCTGGGATGGTTTGGCAAAATGTATTTCTAGTGCAGTTTCTTTCCGTTGAAGTCTCTGACAGCAAGAGGAGATGCAGCTTGTAAGTATATAATGCTGAATTTACTTCCTGACTTATTTTCTTCATGAAGCTGAGTAGCTTCATAAGCTGGCATAAGGGGATGCACATGGATGAGTACCTTCTTGCTGCAGCTGCTTTTGAATTCAGAAGTCCAGCAGCAGAAGGAAGACCCTGCCATGCTGTCAACGTGATGCTGAAAATGATTTTCAGTGTGATACAGAACTGGGTGGAGAGAGAGAAGGGGAGGAGCGAAGGGAGTTGACTGAAAGTGCTGTGGTTTGCTGTAAGAAACTTCTGGCAGAAATTAGATCTCTTTAAACAGAAACAGATACTTCCCAAAGTGCAGTGAACTTGTTTTGCTGTCTGCGTGCCAGTGCTGAGCGTGCAGCCTATTTTGAAGGCCAGCGTGCTTTGAAAGCTGTCTTTCTGGGAACAAACCCAGTCTGAAGTGCCTTTATTTCCATTCATGCCGAAATCTTGCAGTGCTTTTTCTGCCTGGCCCTGGAGTCCTTTACAAAAACAGTAGTACAGCACTTCCAGGAGCCCACAGAACTAAAAACACTTGAAAAAAGAGGCTTTTCAGTAGATGCTGATGGATGTTTTTCATGTTAGAAAAAGTTTCAGCCTGGGCATTCGTAATTTGCAGTTCCAAAGAATTCTGACATCTCACGTGGGTTGGTAAAGATGCTGGACTGGCAATCAACTTGCACTGACAGACCAGCAGGAGCTCAAAGAATTGCTGTTGCAGACAGCTATAAATGGCAGAAACCACCTCAGTGTCTCCTTGGGGAAGAGGGACTTGGGAGGCCTTCAAAGCTGGGTTGGGTGCAGCGCTGGGCACCTCATCTGCTGGGTGGCAGGGGGAGCTGGAACTGGATGGCCTTTGAGGTCCTTCCCAACCCAAGCCATTCTATGGTTTTATGATAGCATTAGTGGGGTCGTGGGTATCTGCACATGAAAGAAAACAGGACCCTTCTCCTTTGTGTGACGTGGCGTGGGGAGATGGGTGACTTGTGGCCCTGCAGGTGGCTGTGCCTGTGCTGTAGCGCTGGGGCAAAGTGAGCCAGCAGCAGGGGGTGGTTGATGGGATGTTCCTCCTTGTTTTTGTCCCTTTTTGTACGATACAGCAGCAGCATCTGTGGTAGAAAATATACTTTTAGTGCAGTGGGGAAAAATAGCAAATGCGTCGCTTTGGTGGTATGTGTGCAGAAGGAAGTGGTATGTCAAGGCTACTTTCAGCACTGTTCACCATAAAAGGGACAATAAAGAAATGTCTTTAAATTCAGTTCATCAGTTCTTTGACAGAGCTGTTAGTTTAACCCAAACGTGTGCTGTCCAGGAGCGGGCAGGTCGCATCCACTGTGACAGCCTGCAGGGCTTCCTGGGGCTTGGAGGGCTCCAGATCCAGTCCTTAAGCTCAGGCAATAGGATTTGGGAGTTCAAGAGGAAAGGAACCATAGAGTCACGGAATTCCAAGGTTGGAAAAGACCTCTAAGGTCATCTGGTCCAACTGGAATCGCTACCATGTAGGCAGCATCTAGCTATGCTTTTCTTTTGTACTTGTTCAGACAGCACCTGGCTAACTCAGAAGAAGTTATCCTAAGAGACTTCAAGATTTGGCCACGTGACAGAGTTTCGGGAAAAAATGTGAGTATAAAAAGAGAAAATGTGAACCATAACTGGTAGAAAACAGCATCTTGTAGGCTGACACTGAATTTCCACATCACAGCTCTCATGTTATTAGACTGTTATTAGACTGGATCTTTTTATGGGACCGAGGTTTGTTTTCAGGAGCCCAAAGCTGATCAGTACTGCAGGCTGTTTAGTAAAAGTCCTCAGCTCTCTGGATACAGGCAGTCCTACTGCATGGTTAGCAGAAGAAATAATACAGAAATACAAATGTGTTTTTTTTTTTTTTTCAGCTGACTGTCTTGAAGCACTGAAAGTTTGTCACGGTTTGGAACTGTATTAAGAACAAAAGAGCCTTTTGAAACTGAAAGTTGATACGGTTTTATCCTTTATTCTTTTATTCTGCTTTATTCTTTTACCTTGAGGAATCAGAGCCTATCAAAATACACGGCTTTCATCCGGTTTCTAAAGTTAACAGTGAATGCATGCCATCCTGGGACCCTGCTGGAACAGGTAGTAGGAGATCTCTGGAGATGGGCCATGTCCTACTTGTATGCTGCAAAGAAGACACAGACGTAAGTGTGTGCTGCTCAGGGTTTGATTTCCATTTTGGCAAAGATCACAGCAGCACCGCTGCTCCTATTAGACTCATGCAAACAGCTTTGAACTCGAATGTATTTGATAGATGGGTGTGATGAGGTTAGCCATCCCATCCCAACCCTGTCTCATTTCATCTTCTCTCTGGCAGAGCAGTGGTTCTTGTCACTAAATGCAGGAGCAGTTGGCAATGCCTGACTATCTCCTGGCTTAAAGGTTTTGATTGTGTTGAGGTCACGTATCAGAGGTCAGCAAAGCCCAGAAACGATTCATGTTTTGCTTCCAAGGAGGACTGAGGCTGCGGGGCCTTTGCCGCAACGCTGCGTGTTGCAGTGCTGCTGTGAGCACTGAGTTGGGGACATGGTCTGACCATGCACCTAAGGCAGCCCTCAGGAGTCACTGCTTGCTCAAAGCATGGGCTGGAAAGTCCCACACCACCTCTTGCTTAACTGCAGGTTAAAAATTTGCTTTTTATTTACCTGCTAATGTACCTCATGCTTCAAGTATGAGGGCCCTGGCCGGGCTGAAGCTGGGTCCCCAGGAAGCAGGCAGCTGGACAGCCCTCGCTGCAGCTCATCCCATGATGGGGGAAGGTGTTTGCTCTGACGGTATGGTTTTCACTTGCCAAGCACTACGAATGAAAAACCTTGACAAGTATATGGTAAAAGTCAGCAGGAAATTGCATTTTCTGTCAGAAGGGGAGCGCTGTGAAGTGGGTTTCAGGAAATGATATGTAACCAATGCCGCTCCTGCAGCTCAGCACTCCGGGTCCTGGCTGGCAGCCATCGGTGCCTAAAGTCAGTGCAGTTTTGCTGCAGGGTTAGTATGTAAAAGCTGTTTCACTGAACTGAATACGCAACAGAAATCCTGCAGCGCTTCTGAATTAATTTCCATTCATAAAGCTGTTAACCTGAGCGAGATGCTCCGTGCTGATGTGCGACTGTGTTCCTCACATAACCAGGTTTGTGGTGTTCAGTGTCATTTAAGGAGTCTGGTCCTGCTCTGATAAGACTGCTGGCTTTTATTGCCCCATGAGGTGTACATACATCTGTATGAGAGGAAGAGCCAAGAAGCTGGCTGCCCTCTTTCTCACCACGGGTGTGCAGGAGATGTGCTGGGAATGGGGTCAGGAGCCCGGGTTCTGTCTGTTTGCCATCACTTGGGAAAGTACAGCCATTTTAGTACTCATCTCAGCCATTTAAATATGTGCAGGAGGGGAGAGCCATGTTCACATCTTTTTTTTGCCTCCTAATTCCGATTTTCTGGCATGCTTTCTCCCTGGAAGCCGGAGCTATTAGCATTTATTCTCTCAGGACACTCTGCCTCTCTTCATCTCTGAGTCACTTTTCCAATTACAAATTAATTTATCCAGCATTGCTCCTTGCTGAGATGAGCAATAATGAGAAACACTATTATATTGAACTGAAATGGGCTAAAGGGAAGAAGGGATGTGTGGGGTGTCTCTGGGCTATGGCTTTCTTACAAAGCAGCTGCACGTGTGTATTTACTGCAGGAAGCAATTAGGGCAGAGAGCTCAGGTGGAATCCCTCTGGAGCTGCAGCAGGGCAGTGCTGGAATGCAGTGGTGACCCAGAACCAGAACTGAGGGCTGACCCGGGGAGCTGCAGGCTCCAAGCTGGTTGTTTAGGAGGGTGCTGTGCTGCCTGCCTGCACCTCGTGCTCATCCTGCAGACCAACCTCTGCCTCGATGGCTGCTGCTGTTTTCTGCCTGGGAGCTGGAAGACATGTTCTCACAGGACTAGCTGGGTTTTTGTGCTTCCTGTCTTAATTGCTTCATCCTTATCTGGAAATGAATTTGGAGAAGTACAGCTAAAACAAACATCCAGTCTTGTTCTTGGAAACACCAACGTCTGTTTGCCAGACATGTCTGTGACCTTCCAGGTTAATGAGCAATGTTCTGAGGCAGCGTGGGGTTGCACCAAATGGAAAGTCAGGTAGGTGGAGGCCTGGAAAATGCCATGGGGAATGGGTTCAGCTCAGAATGAGCAGGGTCCCTGGATGATGGGCAGGCGTAGGGCCATCTCTACAGGTGTTCTGCTTTCATGTTCAAAACCTCAGGCCAACAGTAAGTTGTAAAATAAAGAATAAATCCTATTTTCTGCCTTAAGGAGTCAGTCAAGTAAGCTACATTTGCAGTGTAATTTTTTAATCTTATGGGTTTATTTCAGAATTTTAAAGCTGAGTATCTGTTTGTATCTGGATTAAACAGTCCCAGCAAATGGGTTTTATCTGAGTACACCACAGCAGATTCTGGCAAGTAGAGTGGATTTGGCCTGTAACTGCTTAACCACTGCAGTTCTGCTTGTGGGTGGTTTGTTTCATTTCGTTCTTCAAGTGGTTCTTCCCAGGCTGAAGAAAAGCACCGCTTCTGGTACATGGCTTAATGAAAGGCTTGGTAAGACCCAGGGAGCTCTTCTGGTAGCAATCAAATGCTCTTCCTATTTTAATTATCACCGTGATTCTCAGCAAAGATAAGGAAAGCAAAGTTCTTCAGCCCATGTTGCTTTACTGTCACCACGCTCCAAATAAGCATTGGTGAAATTCCTGATTATTTCCATGCTTTAGTTGATAGTCTGCAGGCATCATTCATTTTTTTTTCATTTGGAGGTGTTGCAAATGCCAGAGACTTTGTCCTCAGAGATGATATGAGGAAAAACACACCTAGACTTCATTTCCTTTCTGCCTTTGAGCCTGTGATGGGATTTCGTGGGTCTGAAGCCCTGCTGTACGAGCTCGCAGCAGCTGGAAGTGTAATGCACTGCAGCTCAGTTGTAAGATAGCCATTATTTTTCTTTCTGGGAGATTGCAGTAGGAGGCACGTGACTAGAAAGTGCTCATTGCTCCCTGCATGGTGCACAAGGGACGGTTTGGACCTGACATGCTGTGTGCCCTGAGCCGGGCCCCCACGTGCAGCCCTGCCTGTGGCACAGCCCTCAGCTCATGGATAGGGCTGTGTCAGAGCATGGAAAAAGATTGTGAAACCTTCTGCTGAGATATTTGAGACCTCAGTGTTTTTCTTGCTAATTTTGAACCCGTGAGATGTTTCTCATGGCCTATTTATAGAGCAGCTTGTTCTCAGAAGGCCCAGTGGGCCCCGCTCTGCAGAGCAGGCCTGAGAACCTCACCCTGGGACACCGGCCGGCACAGCCATCCTGATGTGCTTCAGCAGGGTCCAGCCAAGGCACGCGGATGGACACTGAAGGTGATGTTGGTAGGATGGCAGTAGAGCTTGAACCTTCCCACCAACATCCCACTACATTTTGCTGCTGTGTGACAGACGGCAGCAAGGAGGCAGTCTGACTGAATGGCGTCTGACGTGCGAGCGTGCATGAAGCAAAGCTGTGCCATTGAGTTCTCCCATGCTGGTGAAAATGCACAGCTGAAGGTGGTAACTATGTAGGAAAAAAAAATAGCGTTTTCTAGCTGAGAATTTGCTCTATCAAAGAGTGCTATTGTGCTCTTTGTACCTGTTGTAGTTTCCGCATAAATAATTAGGAGGCATTACTTTTGGAGCAAACCGTGTATTTCCTCAGACGCTGAAGGTGCTGAAAAGCAAATAAAGCCGCATGCTTGCCTCCCTGTCAGCCATCCCACAGTACTGCTTGTTACGCTGCTGGTGAATGCTAATATCAAATTTGGATTGGGTTCTCACTAACTGGTTTGCTCCCAGGAAACCACTGCTGCGTGCTCCTACAGGATGCTGCTGGCTGCCCCCTGCTCTCTCCTGTGTTTGTGTGCTCCTCAGGTATTCTCTTCCTGAAGCAGTGGTTACATGGGATTTGCCTTTCCAACCCCTCCTGTGGAAGGGGAGCACAGGTAAGGCTCTTATCAGCCATCTCTCTGCAGTTACAGACCAGGAATCTCTCTTATCTCTTTAACCTTCACATAGCCCTTGCCTGGAGGCACTCGATGCAGTGGTTACTTTATCCGGTCTGCTCTCTGGATCACATAGTTCTGAAGAATAACAAAGAGGGCTGGCAGAGGCAAGCCTGGACTAGAAATCAGATCAGAAATAGCGAGAAATGAGGGAAACAAAAGCTGCATCACATAATCAGGGATCCTGGCTGCCATGGGGTCCGTGCTGTCCCTGCTCAGCAACCAGCCGTGCCTTGCAGAGACCCAGCAGGGATTCTGCAGGAGGGAAACCCCTCTGTTTGGGGCTTTAGCTCTGACTGGGGCATTGCAAGAAAACCACAGTCAAGCTAAGCACATAGCTAACCAACCCCCATCCCTGCAGGTGCTCAAGGCCAGGTTGGATGGGGCCCTGTGCAGCAGGATCTGGTGCCT